CTGTTCTGTTCTGTTCTGTTCTGTTCTGTTCTATTTTATTCTATTCTATTCTGTTCTATTTTACACTTACTCAGTTTGGATTACGGTAAATAATTTGGGTGAAAAAACATTATTGGGAACATTCTGTTAGCAACGGAGCTAGCAAATGTATTTTGTATAGGAAAATAGCTGGTTTTCATAGCAGTTTTCCTGTGCTCAAAATCTATAAAGTATACTTAAGGATATTATTTTCTTCAGCACTGATTGGTAAGATCTGAAGGAAAGTGATGTATCATAGCTAAAAGCAGTTTTCACTGTAGTATATACAGTTAAAATCATTTTGCTTAAAATGTGGTTTTAAGCAAAGGTTTACCGCTATAAATTCTTCCAAGCTATGAATTAATGTTTTAGAACTTGCTAGCAAACAACACAGAGTGTTTTCATGGAGACCCATAAAAGAGACATGTTTGGAAACACATGTCCCAAAATGTGTGGGCTCTTGAAAAATAAAATATAATTGACTTGAACAGTGGGAATTTTTCCCCCTTTGTTCTTTAGTGCAGTCTAGGATGTGTTTGAAGTTAACTTTCATCTTAGATGAATTCCAGAGTTTTTCATCTTCAAGAAAGGCTACCAAGATAAAAATTCCTAAAATAATTACTGTCTATTATAAAGCTGAACTGATGAATTAGACACAAAAAACTATAATGAACTACAGTAGGTGTATTTGTTGTTTTGTTTACTACAGGAGAACCATCTAGATTCAAAGGTACCAGATTTCCTGAATAAAAATATGGTTCCTGAAAATCTGTCAAAGTCATATTTGTCCGAAGAATCCTTTAAAACAGAAATGAAAAAATCAGATGATTTAGACCTTTCATCTTCATCTGAAGAAGTCAAGGTTGGGATTGAAAATGTGAAGAGCGAAACCTTCTCAAGAGAACTGAACGCTCACAAAAAAGCAGAGTTTGAACCCAGCTCCAAGGAGCTAAGTGAGCTTCATCACTGGATTAAGAATATGTGGCTTCAAGATGAAAGTGTTTATGAAGCAACTCAAGAAAAGATCGGAGAAGGCCTCAAGTTAGATGCAAAGTCTTCCAGAGAGGAAGAATATGGCTACATCATGACAGAGAAAGAGTAAGTATGGATATTAAAATTTTATTCATGAACTTGATATCCATTGATGATATAATAATTATGTAGAATTTGATTTAGATGTAATATTTGCACACAGCCTCCTAAACCATATTTTTCCAAAAATATAACGATCATATTTTTCCGATCTGGTATCTTTGGAAAGTGTTGGATAGCAATTTCCAGAATTTGCTGTATTTTTTGGAGTATAAGACACACCGGAGTATAAAATGCACTAAGTTTTTGAAGAGGCTTCTTTTTGCCTTCCTCAGCCCCCAGGAGCACTCTGGAAGTCTCCTAAAGACTATGCATAGCCATTTTTGCAAAGGGGGTGGGATTTTGGGAGGCCAGAAATGCTGTATTCAGTGTGTATGACGCACCCATATTTTCATCCTCTTTTTTTTGAGGGAAAAAGGTGTTTCCTATATTCTGAAAAATATGGTACATATTTTAATCCTTTTTTGGGGGGAAATAGAATTCTGTTTTCTCGCCTAATGTCTCTCCCCAGTTGCTTTGCTAAAAAGTAATAGCTTATATATTTCCTATGTAAATGTTTAAAAGGAAAACTATTTGTCTACTTCACACATTGTCCTTTACTGATTTGCAGACAGAAGTATTAATGGCTTGAAAGATAGATGTTTTAAATTTTAGACTTCACAATAGAAAACATAATATTATACATGATTTTTTTCTCCCTAATTTATTAAGTTCATATTTGAATTCGAATGTTAATTCTATGTCTCTTCCTAAACTCAATAATTTTTTAAAGAAAACTTTATGGAGGTCAGTGAACATTGGGCAGAATCATTGTCAAAGTTTTTCTCCCCTCTCCTTTTTTTTAAAGACTAAATCATTTTATACAGGTTCACTATTAAAGGTCATTTATTCTTTAATATTTCCCTTCCCATTTTTCTTCTTTTGAAGAAACAAATGAAGAGCTATTCAACGGAACTTGGATTTGTTCAATTACATTATTTCAGTTCTTGCTTCTGTTCTTCATCACACATAGATAGCCATGTTATTACATGAAATTAAATGCTTAGGGGCAGTTTTGGTGGGAGAATATCAAAGAGTGGGTGGAGAATGTAAGTATGTGCTGAAATTCTTTAAAGCAAGCAAAGGATTTTCTCCTCTCCAGTTATAATTACAGGCCAGAAATAAGGAAATACATTTAAGTGGACCATTTTTTTCTTGACATTTTCACATTTTCAAATCTACTTTGTTAAAAGAAAAAGTAAAAAAGTAAAGGTTTCACCTATTCAGTCATGTCCTACTCTAGGCAGCAGTGGTCATCTCTGTTTCACAATCAAAGAGCCAGAATTGTCCAAAAATGTTTCTGTGGTCATGTGGCCAGCATGACTATATACCAAAAGCACACAGAACACTGTTACTTTCTCACCAAAATGGTACCTATTTATCTTCTTGCATTTGCATGCTTTCAAATTGTTATGTTGGTAAGAGTTGGGACAAGGATGGGAGCAAACCCCATCAGGTGATTCAAACTGCCAATCTTCCTGTCAATAAGCCCAGCATCTTAAGTGCTTTGTCACTGCACCCTCTTATTTCATAATATAAAAAAGTTTNGTAGAGAAAACTGATTGAAGACTTCACATGTTTCCTTACTTTAATGGTAGAATTGTTTAACCCATTTACAGCAATTGGAAGTCTTTATTTAGAGGTTGTTTATCCTACAGCGCTTTATGATATATAATTATAGATAGATAATCATAGATAGATGGATAGATAGATGGATGGATAGATCGATAGATCGATCAATCAGATGTTTTGGAAGAAATCAAACACTAATCCTATTGGTTCTATTTGCGTTTGTCTCAACCATTAATTGGTCAGGCTTGGAACACTCAAACTGTGTCCCAGCAAGCCCCAAGAGATCTGATGAGAGTTTTAAAAAATAAGGTAGCAGGATGTGATTATCTCTCATAGTAGGTCAGTAATGATTATAGTGTTTGAGACATTCAGAGTTTCTAATTCATAGCAAGGAGAATCTAATGAAAGAACAGGCCACTAGATCAAAAGCTGCTCATTATTTTCTGCTAAAAGATCTTAGTGAGAGAACAAAGCCAACAGTATAAAATGTTCTTGAATGATTCAGGTGATATTGGAAGAGAAGCCTGACCTAACAAATATATTCTCGGTCAATTTTTCACAAAGTCAGGATGTAGCTTTTCAGATAATATGCAGTTTGTTCACGGAACTCTTACTGCAACACAAGACACATACTTAGAATATAGAAGATAGAATAACAGAGTTGGAAGGAACCTTGGAGGTGTTTTAGTCTAACTCCCTGCTCAAGCAGGAGACCCCATACCACTTCAGACAAAGAGTCATCTTTTTGAAAGCCTCCAGTAATGGAGTAGTCACAAGTTCTGAAGGCAAGCTATTCCATTGGTCGATTGTTCTCAGTGTTAGGAATTTTCTCCTTAGTTCTAATTTTCTTCTCCTCTTGGTTATTTCCAGCTATTATTTCTTGTCTTGTCTTTTGGGGCTGTGGAAAATAGTTTGACCCCCTCCCCCCAAATTGTCTTCGTAGGAGCTCCTCAAATATTGGAACACTGCTATCATGTCATCCCTAGTCCTTCTTTTCACTAGACTAGATATACCCATTCTGTGCAACCATTCTTTGTATATTTTAGCCTCCACTCCCTAATAATCTTTGTTGCTCTTCTCTGCACTCTTTCCAGAATTTCAATACCTTTTTTTGGTAACCAAAACTGGTTGCAATATTTCAAGAATGGTTTTACTAAGGCTTTGTAAAGCAGTACTAGAACCTCATATGATGTTGATTCTATCTCGCCTAGATTTGCATTGGCTTTTCTGGCTCTTGACACAGACTATAGGCTCATATTTAAGCGATTGTCTATTAGAACTCCAAAATCCCTCTCATAGGTACTGGTATTAAGCCATATTTCACCAAGTCCGTATCAGTACAGTTGATTTTTCTTGCCTAAAACCTTACTTTTATCTACATTGAATTTCATGGATGCAGTCCTCAAGTCTTTTTTGGATCTTGAACGTCTTCTGGAATTTTGGCTATTCCTTCCAGGTTAGTGTGTCGTCTGCAAATGTGATGAGTTTCCTCTCTATTCTCTCATCTAGATTGTTTATGAAAAAAATGAAGAGTACTGGGTCTAAAACAGAACCTTGGGATATCCATTGCTTACTTCCCTCCATGTGGATGTAGTTCTTTGAGGGCTACACATTGAGTATGCTTTGTTAGTCAGTTACAAACCCATCAGGTGTTGGTGGGGCCTATGCTATATTTTTCTAGCTTGCCAAGAACTAGATTATAGTATACTTTGTCAAATGCTTTTCTGAAATCTAAACATACTATGTCCACAGCATTTCACTGATCCACTAATTTAGTCAGTTAGTTGAAATATGAAATAAAATTTGTTTGGCGTGATCAATTTTAATGAACCAATACTGTTCCTTATTTTTTAAAGGAATAATATTTAGAATTCTCAAAGGATCCAGTAATTTAATTGTGATATCAATTATATTTAGTTATTGGAAAAATCAAATGTGGGTGTATGTTTCCTGCTTCTATAAAAAAAACATTTTGTAGCAAATTTTGTATTTAGGTTAGTTGATAGATGTCATACTAGTGTATGATGTTCCAGACATGATAATTTGAGTTGGAATAGTATTATAATTACTTGTCTTGAAAAAAAAAACATACTTTCATGCATAATTAGATAGGCTGAATTTACATAAAACAGAATAGGCATAAAGTTTGTGTCAGTCTTTGGCACTGTGAGTCTTTGATATTTTTCTCCCAGTTATAAAAAAAATCAGTTTCTCATGCTGAACTGACATAGGAAGACAGTGGGATACATTTGGGCACTCTAGATTTATTTTTAGGAAATCACTATGAAAAAGAAAAGCTATTTCTGATTCCTGCTTTTTAGCTGATGTGCAGAACCTTTTCTCTGAAGTGGGTATAGTTCTTGCTGGACCAGAAACAGATCTGGCATGCACTAATAATCATGGATGTCGGTGTAACTGTGCAAAAGTGTCCCTCATCAAATGGAATTAATTTAATAGATTTAACAAGTGTGTTGGGAAGTGAGAACACTCTTAAGATTCACTTAATATTTTCCCTTTTGTCATAATTCAGTAGGTGTTATGCAGTACCTGGATATTAATATTTGCCTTACTCAACCTGGCAAAAATTGCAGAAAGATGAATTCCATCACCCTTACTCCTGCATTTGACGAAATGATCTATGCTTATTGAACTGTACTAATCCCCACACTCCTGACTTTTCTTTTACCTTTGAAAACCCAATATTAATTCATTTTTTACACTGGAATAAGGATGGCTTTATATTGACTTTGTTGAAGGTATGAGAGAGCCATTAAGGAGGGGGAAGGGAAAGAGAAGAAGGAGTTGTGAAGGAGGGACTTGGAAAAGCTGTTACACAGTCTAAAGTAGAAAAAAAAACTCAGAATAACTCTTGACTTTGATTAGTATAAGATGGGAGAAGCAAAAACTTGGACAGACTTTCAGGATCTTCTTGTTATATCTTGCCATAATAAAGTAGCCTTCCTAGAAACCCTCTGCTGCCTGTTTTTTGATCTGGTCCCACCTTAAGGACTGACGGATATAATCAGATATAATTTTAAAAGATTTTAAAACTACATTTAAAGATACAGAAGAGAGATGGGCTGATTTTATGCCTATTCACTTAGTTATTGAAAATGAGAAAGATATAGAAATAAAGAAATTGGTTTGAAATATGCAAAGCAGTGATGAAATATAGCTTTTGTGATACTTGGGGCGAAGGACCCCAGACAGCACCCTGGAGTTTTGGGGAGCTGTAGAGTTGTTAAAGAGAATTCAGGTTAATGTCAGAGTTCACCCCTAATGAAAGAAGACTCTGAGGTTTGAGTTTCCTCAAAGTTCCATTTTATTAGAGATGTCATATTGGCACATCTGGGCAAACCCGAATCTGAAAGTTTCCAGGTTTTCCCCACCCAAAA